ATAACAGTATTTTCTTTTAAAAAATTTTTTAAAGATTAATTTTTATTTATTTACACATACAAAAACTGGGGTAGAGGCCAGAGGTACGGGGTGGGTGAGAAGATTCACCAGAGACAGAGTGGGGAACAGAACAGGCAGACTGACGAAACACACTGCTGAGGGGAGCAGCGGGGAGACAGGAGAGGTCTCCTGCGCCATGTGGGTAGCTCCTTGGCCGGCTGGGGATCGAACTCATGCTGCAGAGGCTTCGGACAGCTCCATAGTGCTGTGCTTAACCCCTTGCACCACCAGGGAAGCCCAGTAACAGTCATTTCTTAATACCATTACTATCCAAGGCCTATTTAAATTCACCCATTTATTCCCAAATGTCTTCACATCAGCCTCCACACAGGGCTCAACCATTGCATTTGATTTTCTAGAGCACAAAGACTTTGACTGTTCATCCCTCTCTGCCAGCACCTAAAACAGCGACTGTTGCAAAGAAATGTGTCAGCATGAGTAAGTTGGCATTTTCACCATCATCATTCTCTTCTCCATTATCACCATCAACATCACTAATTTCATCTTCATCACCATCATCACCACTCACGTCATCCTTGCTTTCGTCACTGTTACCTTCATAATCTGCATCACCATCATTCCTTTATGACCATTACCTCATCGTTATCACCACCACCACCACCACCACCATCATCATCACTGCCAAGACCATCATGACTTCATCTCCATTATTATCACCAGCACTCCCCAAATCCCTTGGAAATCTTTAAATGTTAATCCTGGGGCACCATCCCAGACTTCCCCCAGTTAAGATTTCTGGGTCTTTGACCTCCTGGTAGATTCTGACAGGACCCAAAGTTTGTGATTCCCTGGGCCAGAGAAAACAGCAGAGGGATCAGGGACCTGTTGATATAGTTAGCTGAATGAAATCTTGTGGGTAGGAGGGATACCCAGGAGGTGTCTGGGCACAGGGGTGTCGGTTGTGGACTCTCAGGGCTGGGCTGGCCTTAGAGACTGATCCATTCCTTCATTTACTTATTTATCAGCTAGCACTGTAGTGCCGGGCTACGCGGTCTTTGCCCTTGTGGGGTTTATGGTTGTGAGGCTGCCAGGTGCCACTAAATAAACAGAATTTTATGGGTGAATGTTGTGTGCTAAAGACATGGTTTGCTTCTGGAAGAATGTGTGAGAGGGAGACTGGCTCGTTCTTGGTGTCAAGGGAGGATTTCTGGACAACAGGATGAAAGCAGGATTAACTAGGGGAGGACTGAGTGGGGGGCCACTCCAGCTTGGTACTAATGGGGGCTCTGTGGAGTGAGAAGAGGGGTTAGTGCAGGAAGGAGTGGGGTGCAGATCACGAGGGACCTTGGTGTGATGCTGGGGCATCTGGTGTTTATCTCAAGAGCACTAAGAGCCAGGGAGGTATTTGAGCAAGGAAGTGAGGTGGTTCCATTAATGCTAACAGATCATCTGGGCCATTGTCTGAGGAGCAAAGCAGAGGGCAGTGTGGCACAGGAAGACCAGTACTAGGAGACAGTGCCTCTGTGCCAGGAAAGAGGTAGCCTCCAGGCCTTCCCTTTATCTGTGCCCTGTCACCTTCTTGAACCTCACTTTTTTTTTTAAAGATTTATTTTATTTATGCATACAAGAACTAGAGTACAGGCCAAAGGTGTGGGGGATGAGAGGATTCACCAGAGACAGAGTGGGGAGCAGATCAGGTGGATCCTCTGAAATACACTGCTGAGGGGAGCAGCGGGGAGACAGGAGAAGTTTGCTGTGCCATGTGGTCAGCTTCCCTGGCCAGGGATCAAACTCAGGCCTTGGGGGCTGGTGGTACCTTGACAGTGCTGTGACTTAACCCCTGCCCCACCAGGGAGGTCGGACCTCACTTTCCATCATGGTAGTCAACCCCCTACCCAGCCCATTTCCACCAGACAGACACAGACATGGTCCTGCCTCAGGGCCTTTGCATTTCTTCTCTCTGGCCTGACACCACATTTCTCCAAAACATCCCCATAAGTAAGTTCCCATCTGGTCTTCAAATGCTCAGCTGCCACCTTCCCTGACACCCTGCTTGAATCTGTGCCCAGCCCAGCATTCCTGTCTGGCGGGCTGTGCCAGCCTCACCCAACACGCTAGTCCGTATGGCTGCCTCTCCTGTAGAATATGGGCTACATGTGGGCTGAAGTCTGTCCTGTTTACTGCAGCTTCCCAAGCATCTGCCACAATGCCTGGCACATAGTAGGTGCTCAGTTAATGTTTGTTGAACACATGAGTGAAGTGGAGAGACTCGTTTAGATTCCAGAGGTCCTCAGAAGGCCCAGTGACCAGGCCTTGGGGCTGGGCCATGAAGAACTGAAGGAGATGGAGTCTCTAGAGACCACCAGCTTGAAGGGCTCGAGGATCTCGGTGCCAGTGGGCCAGGTTTTAGGGGGAAGACAATGGGGTGAGTTTTGCTCTAAGACAAACAGATGCCAGAGGTGTCAGGTCAGGAGCTCCAGCAGGGGGCTGCACAGGTGTCGGATATGGGGTGGGAAGACAGCAAAGTGGGAAGTCCCTCAGCAGAGATCAGTGAGTGAGAGGCAAACCCAGGAACCCCAGTGTTGAGGGGGAACTGGGTCAGGTCAGAGGGAGGCTCCGGAGAGCCAGGCTCCAGATCGGGTGTCTGGAGGAGGGAGGGAGGTGCAGGCCAACTGGAGCCCTCTGGTGCCAGTACACAGGAGGTGCTAGGTGACCTTGGGGGATGCTGGGGAGGACTCTGGCCAAGGAATGCAGGAGAGGGGAGCGGGTTGTGAAGGGCCACCGGGAGGGAGTGTGGGACAAATATTTATTGAGTGCCAGCTGCGTGCCCAGAGTGGTGAATGGACTAGGTCTCAGCCCTCCAGGACCTGGCGATTAAAGTGTGGGGGTGGGGAGGGAGTGATAGGATTAAGGAGAGAAATCGGCAGGGGTAGGGCCAAGGTGGGGGCTGGGTGAGCCCTGGGGCTGCAGGAGGGAGGGTTTTAGATTGTCGGATTAAGTGAGGGCAGAGGAAAGGGTGAAATGGGGGTGGGGTTTCCTGGAAGAGGCTGGGCGATTAGGGTTTCCCCTACACACACAGACTCACATCACTCACGCTTAAATTATATTAGTCCTAAATTCATATTTGGCTATGGGTTTTGATCTCAGACTGCCTGACCACACAAACATTGGGACTCTGTCCGGAGTCACGTGACCCTCCCTCACCTCAGTGTCCTCCCCTGCAAGAGAGGGTTCTGACTAGATCTCCTTTTAGGGTTGCAGGAAGGACTAAATGAACTTATCTGTGTAAAGAGCTGAGGACAGGCCCAGGCCAGTCGATGCTTCTCTGTAAATTCATTCATTTATTCGAGAGATTTTCTGAGCTGCTACTGTGGGTCAAGACATCTTAGTATTGGGGGGTGAAAGAAAAGACAAATCCCAACCATCCCTTGTGGATTTCTGCATTCTGGTGAGAGAGACAGAGATTAAAGGAGCAAGTAGGTAATATAAAGGTGGCTTGTCAGATGGGGGTGGTGCCACTGCAGAAAAAATCAGGCAACAGAGGAGGGCCCAGGGGGATTGAGGTGGCTGCTTGAAGTTGGCTGCTTAGAAGGGTCTCATGGCAGAGCTGTGAAAAGGGCTGGACACTGTAGAGGGAGTAGATTTCCTCAGCACCTTCCCAGGTTGGCACTGACCCTTCCAGGTTCCTCAGAAACCCTTCACTCTTGGGCAAGTTTGGATGGATGATCACCCTAGGAGTAAGTCTCAGGAAAAGCATCCCAGGCAGAGGGGACAGCTAGTGCAAAGGCCCTGAGGTTGGCCTGCAGATTGTGGTTAAAGATGCAACTCTGAGAATAGGGTGGAGGCTGTTTTTGAGGGGTTGGAGAAAGAAATCTGGTGGGGAAAACCAGACAGGGGGCTCATTTAGATTTCAACTCTCAGAACCCCATGGGGGAGCTGGCTTGTGCTCATTAATCTCTAGTTGCAGGAACAGGCTTTTCCTGGTCAGCTCAGTTGCCCAAGGCCAGCAAGACCAGTGAAGGGAAGGAAAGAATTTGAGTTTATTTGAAATCACATGTTGTTAAAGAACAGAGGGAGGAAGTTGAGAGAGGGGTGAGAGGGAGAAGGAATTAGTTTAGGGACCTCCAGACAGCTGGGAAGTTGAAGGGGAGAAATTGCTAGAAATATGGGGTACATTTCATGAAAGTCTCCCACGACACATTCTGACTGTAGAGATTTCCCTAAAACGCAGAGGAACTGTTTTCCCAGGGGAAAATATGGAAATACAAAATCTTCTAATTTTTTAAATATGGAAATATAAAATCTTCTAATTTTTTTTTTTGCAAAATACGTCTTGGTTTCTTGGGTTTTCTTATCTTTTTTTTTTTTTTTCTTTAGATTTATTTATTTTGCATACAAGAGCTGGGATACAGGCCAGAGATGGGAGGGTGAGAGGATTCACCAGAGACAGTGGGGAACAGAACAGGCAGACTGACTGAAATACACTGCTGAGGGGAGCAGCAGGCGAGACAGGAGAGGTCTGCTGCACCATGTGGGTAGCTCCCTGGCTGGCTGGGGATCGAACTCGTGCTGCAGAGGCTATGGATTGCTTCACAGTGTGGTGCTTAACCCTTTGCGCCACCAGGGAGGCCCCAGGTTTTCTTATCTTGATACAGATAGGAGTTTGTGTAACATGAAAACCCAGAGAGAGGGAGATAGAGACCCAGAAAAAGAGGTACAGAGAGAGATGAAAGAGAGGCATGTAGGAGAAGGGAGGAGAGTGAGCATGAGGGGAAGGGAGGGAATCCCTTTCAGATAAGGAGAGACCTCTTAAGTCTTGAGAACCAGAGACCCTGGACAAGCCAGAGCAGGTACATCCTGGAGCTTGGGCTGCTGTCCCTTCAGGGCCCTGAGATCAGCCAGGGAGCATACCGGGGCAGTGGTCACTGTCTCAGTCACGGGACATCCAGGGCAGCTTGTTGGGCTTCCTGTCTCCCCAGCTTGCCCTCCCCCACCTGCGGAAGAGCCGGGGCAATGTCATCAACATCTCCAGTCTGGTCGGGGCCATTGGCCAGTCCCAGGCAGTCCCCTATGTGGCCACCAAGGTATGCCAGCTGCTGTCCCTGCCCCTACCCTGCTTTCACTCCCTACCTGGGATCTCAGCTCTTGGGCATAACAACCTGTGCCAAGTTGCTCTTGCCAAGTGCCTGCCAATGAAGCCTGAACAGAACGCAGGACTTTCCCATGCTGTGCCCCTGCTTGACACATCTGGTTGGGGGAGAGGAAGGGAGGAGACTTGTCTTCCCTCAACTGAACTTTCTCCCTGGCCCACATCTTCTGCAGGGGGCAGTAACCGCCATGACCAAAGCCTTGGCCTTGGATGAGAGTCAATATGGAGTCCGCGTCAACTGGTGAGTGAGGCCAAGTGGGCACAGCGCCTCCTGGAGGGAGGTGAAGGGAAGGATAGAATTTGGGTTTATTTGGGTGTCCCTGGGGTGGCAGGGAGTGTGCCCCTGATTCTTTCTCTTTCCTCCCAGTATCTCCCCAGGAAACATCTGGACCCCCCTCTGGGAGGAGCTGGCAGCCTTAACACCAAACCCCATGGCCACAGTCCAAGAGGGCACATTGGCCCAGGTAGGGCTGGGGTCCAGATCCAGATGGTATGGGATGACTTGGGGCATGGTGGCCAGGCAGGGACTCCCCCTGACCTTTTGCCCTCTGCCTCTCCCCAGCCCCTGGGCCGCATGGGCCAGCCTGCTGACGTGGGGGCCGCCGCTGTGTTCCTGGCCTCGGAAGCCAATTTCTGCACAGGGATTGAGCTGCTTGTGACTGGGGGTGCGGAGCTGGGATATGGGTGTAAAGCCCAAGGGAGCACCCCCGTGGAGATGCCCACGATCCCTTCCTGATTTCCCATGTTTCCGCTTGGGTTCCGACTCAGCCTCCCAAATTCCAACTTCTACCATCTGCCTCTCAGGGGCAGCCTTCCCCCGCCTCCTTCCTGTCCTCAAGCCTCCGCACCCGTGTGCCACACCACCCTGCACGTATCCATAAAAGCAATTTGCAGCCAGAAGGAGGGCATCGTCACCTTTATTTTTTGCCCTCTGAAACCCCTGCCGCTCCTGGACCGCATCCGCCCAGCCCCTCGCGCGCCTCCGCCGGAGCAACTACAACTCCCGGCAGGCTCTGCGCGGAGGCCGCAGCCGGCAGAACCTGTCGCCAGGGGCTCCGGGAGCGGCAGAGCAGGTCGCCTCCTTGCCCAGCCAGTTAAAAGGCCCGCAGGGGAGAGTAAATTATGCGCTAATTAGGAAATAATGGAGGCGCAGCCGCAGAAGGGCCGTCTTTTTATTCTTGGCCCTTAGGGGAAAGGAGTTTGGCCCTCTCTGCCTGCCGATTAGGAATGTGGCCGGCACCAAACACCCTGAGGGAAGCAGCAGCTGGCGGCTGAGACGCCTAGGCCAGAGAGATGAGGGGCTGGGGCTGGACGCCTGGGTTTGCGGGAGGAGATGACTTAGGGAGAGAGGAGAAGAAACGGGTTGGCAGAGTAGACTCCCTAGCCAGGGAAGTGGGGAGCCTGGCTCCCTCCCAGGTGGGGCGGGGGTCCAGCCCCGGGTAACCCCTCCAGGTGAGGGGGTGGAGCAGCGCTGCTGCAAGGATTGGCCGCCGCGGGGGGTGTGCGGCAGTAGCTGATTGGCCGGGGCGGGGGCGGGTCTGTGGGTGCCACACCCTAACAGCCCCAGGCTAGATGGTGGGGGAGGACTGGGAAGAAGGGCAGACTGACTGGGCGACACCCTGCGGGGGAGGAATTTGATTGCCTGGGACTGTGGCTGGTAGGGCCGGGGGACAGGATTTGGGGCAAAGTGTCCCTGGGTAGAATTACCCTCAAAGCACAGTGGCCTTGAGGATCCAGCAGGAAGAGAAGGGTGTGACAGTAACCTAGATGGGGGAAATCTGGCCACAGAAGGTCTGGGAGCCACAGTGACAGAGGAGCAAGACCTGGGAAGCTCTGGGGTTTTAATTGCTGGGGATCGGAGGGTCCTGCGGGCTGTCATTGGCTCACGCAGCCTTCGGGGGTCCTAAAGTTGGGGAGACATGCACGAAAGGATGTAATCGGAAGATCCTGCTCTAGCAGTTGTTCTTCGAGGCTCATAGGCGAGTTGGGGGGGAAGGTGTGAAATTGTAGCGTCTTCACTGTGAAAGAGACTAGAAGGAGGCCCAGAGAACCCTGCGTGCGTGCGTGCGTTCTTACATGAGTTGCAAAGAATACACGTCTCTGTGCTCGTTGGGAAGAGAAAACGATCCAAACAGGGTTTAAAGGCCACGCCGTCATCCCTACCTGCTGCCCCCATCAGTGGCCTTTCGCCAAAATCCTTTCCCTCTTCGTGTGCATGAGAGACTCACCCACTGACCTGTCTGCTGTGGCTTTTCCTTTGCACTCAAGGATGGAGATCGGCAGAGCTTTCTGCTTCTGCGCATCCTTCGGGCTGTTTATCCTGCTCAGGAACAGAACACATTAAAATGCATTTTTGAACATCGCTGCAGGCACGCGCCGGCCTCCGCGTCTGGAACAGGCCGGGGTGGGGGCTGGGGGGAGGGTGTGTTTCAGTGTGCACCCCGGGGCCGGCGGGCTCCAGCGCATGCGTTCTCCGCGGGCGCCCTGCAATTGGGGCGGCCAGGGGTGCCGGGCGGGCGGCCCTCGCGGGAGGGGGCGTGGGCGGGGCGGGGCGGGGCCGGAACGTCTTTCTTAGGGGCCGCGCCGCGGGCGGGCGCAGTTCCCCGCCGCACCGACCATGGCCGCAGCCGCGCTGGGGCAGGTGGGTGCGCTGGCCGCCGGGGCTGGGGATCCCGCGGGGCGGCGCGCTGCCGGGCGGACCACTCGCGGCCGGCGGTCCGGCCTGACGCTGCTCCTCCGGCTCCTGCGTTCCGCTGCGGGGCGCGAGGAGCAGGGGGGCCCTCGGAAGGCAGCGGAGGGCGTTCCTGGGGCCGGCGCCCCGGCCGTGGGCGGTGAGGGGCCCTGGATGGCAGGAGGCGGCGGGAGGAGGGCGCGGCAATAGGACGGGCACCGGACGGGGATGGGCCGGAGGGGGTGGGGGGCGAGATGAAGGTACCCAGGTTCAGCCCCAGACCTGATCGGCCCCAGGACCCTGCTTTCTTGGAACTGAAGGCGACGGTGGCGTGGCCGCTGGCGCCGCGGGATAACCCTTATCTGAAGCTCGGCACCTGGGTGGGACATAGCGGCCGCTTCCCCTAGTGGCAGGTCCTGCGGGCGAGAGCGAGAGTCCATTCTCAGCGATAGGATGTGAAGCTGCAGAGTGTGTCGGAATCAGTGAGTTTCGAGAACAAGGTTTCTCAGTGAGGAAGGAAACAGTAACTACGCGAAGAAAGGAGGCGGGGAATTTACTCTAAAGACAAAAAATACTTGGGGAGAAAAAAAGCTCCAGGAACGCGGGGCGTACCAACCCTGACAGCTGCGGCGAAACCTTGGGAGAAGCGTTTCCTGCCATTTTCCGCTTGACTTGGTCCGGATCTCTTATCCCAGCTGGCTGACTGGCAGGGCCAACCTTGTACTTTCTTGGAATCTTGGTGACAGATGGCGATGGACTGTGACTGGGGCAGTCCGGGTTTTGATGGTGACACTCCTGGGCAGTGACAGGACGGTCTGGGGTTGTGATGTGGAGCTTCTCGAGCAGGATGTTATGATAGGACAATCCTGATCTGTGAGGGAGAGTTCTGGGTCATGACAGAGACAGCCTGGAGCTGTGCTAGGCACGGTCTCCGGCTGAGACAAGGACAGCACTGCACTGTGAGGAGGACTCTTGCTGGCCTGTGATGGGGCAGTCTTGAAGTGGGGAGGACGGTGTAGGCAACGACAGAGACAATTCTGAGCGTTGATGGGGACACACCTGGGCCGCGTTGGGAAGTCAGTTCTGGGCTGTAATGTCACCGCGGAGGCTCATGTTACACAGAGCCCTGCCCTGTGTATACCCCTCACCCACACTCTTTGTTTCTTCATTCAGCCCAAATCCTTTTACACTCTTGGTTGCAAAAACCCATGTACAATCCGAGTGTTTTCTTTGCACTCAGTCCCTCTCATTCGGGGTGTCACATGGGGGACACCGTCCCAGGGCTGAGACCCCTGCCCTTAGAGAAATATCCCAAGAGGAAAGACAGCTTCTTCCAGTGTGACAAGGTCTCTGTGGCCAGTGGAGAGTTATAATCCCCCAGACACCGTGCCAGCACCTTCTCTCTGCCTTATGGATACGCTTCTCTGCTTGTTCTTTCTCTCTCTCCTGGATGTCACCTTTTAAGCATCGCTGAGATGGTTTCTAGGTGTTGGCGTTGCTGTCTGTCCAAGTCCTCCTTTCTCTGCATCTCCCTTTCACCTCCTGCTGTGTGGAGTCTCTATTTCCTTGTTCTTTCTCCTCCTTCCCTCCTCCCCTCTCTCTCTTGCCTGCGGTATTTTTCTCCAGGCGTTACTTCGGCTGAGTTGGCCTCCTGGTGTTTCCTGCCTCGCTCTTTATGATCATATCTACTTTGGCATTTCTTGGCCTTCATTTGTGTTTTTTTTTTTTTTCCCCCAGTTAGTTTTCTATTCCCGAGTCTCTTTGTTTTCATTCTTGCTCTTCACTCTTTCACGCGCTTTTATTATTTTTCCACTGTGGCTTGCTCTCGGGCCACAGTCCTGTCCAGATGCTGACTGTTCCCTCCCTCTTGGGTCATTCTCTGTCCCTGCCTTCCGTGTCCCATCCCTTCCTGGACTGAAGCTTGGCCAGGCTAGTGCAGGCCATACACTGCCACCTAGAGGCCTGCCCTGGAACCACACCTGGATCATCCCAGAAGCCCTTGGGCCCACTATCCATGACCACTCCTGAGAGGGCGCAGATGGATCACTAGGGTATTGTAGCCCCACAGCCCCCCATCTCCCGTGACTCACCCACTGAATGGTGACCGCAGCCATTCACGTCCTTTCTCATTGGCTGGTGTCAGCTCACCCAGCTCACAGGGCAGGATGAGGTCAGGCTGTTGTGCCTCTCCCAAATGCAGGACGCAGGCAGGCTGGGGGAAGAAGCGTGTGAGAGATCAAAGAACATAGAGAGGAAGTCCTGGTGGATACAGCTGGACCTGCTCGCCCCTGCTTGCCTCAGGCAGGGCCACAAGGCCTGAGCAGTGTCCCCAGGTTCATGTGGCTCCCCTTCTGCCAGGGGATCTGAAGGTGTCTAAGGTATAGGGTTGGATAATTTGAGCCCAGTTAATCTAATACCCTGAAAATAAGAATTTGGAATCCTGGGTCTGGACAGTTTCTAGGTGTTGGCAATCCCCAAATAAGAATTTGAAATCCTGGGTCTGAGGGAGGAGAGTTTTAAGTATCTGGACTCCTGAGTTCTGAGGGAGGAGGGGGCTGGAGGCCTGGACTCCAGGATATTTGGGAGGAGGGGGCTGGAGGCCTGGACTCCAGGGTATTTGGGAGGAGGGGGCTGGGGGCCTAGATTCCAGGGTATTTGGGAGGAGGGGGCTGGGGACCTGGACTCCAGGGTATGAGGGAGGAGGTAGCTGGGGGCCTGGACACCCGGTTTTGAGGTAAATGAGATTGAGGCCTGGACCCCCAGGTCTGCGGGAGGGGAGACTGGGCACCTGGACTCCTGGATCTGCAGAAAGAGGGGCTGGGGGCCTGGCTCTTGCTCCTGGGGTAGACTCGTAGGTCTCTCACTTTTCTAACTCTTGTCAGGAGGCTTTCACTTACCTCTGCACCTTTCCTTGTCGTTGTCGCCCTCTCGTCTGAGCTATTCTCAAGGCTGGGGCCAAAGTTCCCTGGGGTGGGAGGTGCTTGTATTTGACTTTGCCCAGCTTGGAGGAGGGGATGGGCACTGATTGAGTTCTTTCTAGGGATGGCCTCATGGGGATAAGGAAGGGACTTGGCCAGGGCCACACGTGGCCAAGCTTCAGTACACTGGGCCTGCACAGAGCAGGCCAGAGGGCCCTCCCAAGTGCAGGAGTGGCAAAAGGCTGTCAGAGACCCTGCTTGCACTCTACTGAACTCGCCATGTTTCTTACCTTCCCCCCACTGCCAGATTTGGGTCCGGAAACTTCTCCCTGGCCGCTGGCTTCTGTGTGGTCCCAGAAGATATGCCTCATCTGACTTCAAGGTGAAAGGAGGGGACTGGACTTCTAAACATCAAAGAGGGGTTTTTGGGGGCCTGGACTCCCAGGACTTAGGAAGGAGGCAGCTGGGGGCCAGGACTCCTCGGCTGAGGGAGGGGGTGGCTGGCAGCTAGATCTGAGTATCTCCCAAAGGTCCACTTTCAAAGATGAAGTGGGTGGCAGTGGAGTAGCTTAACAGCCGGCCATCAGGTGGTGGGGAAAGAGATGCAATTCCATGTCCCAGAAGCCTCTGGGGCAACAGATCCCTCGTCTCTCTGGGCCTTAGTCCCAAGGATTTATGGGAGTTGTAGTTTTTCCAGTATGGAGGTTGTAGCCAGATTCCAGGCTATCTGGGTCCCCTGTTCTTTTCTTAGGCTGCAGACCTGCAGCTGGAAATGACGCGGGCCCCTCAGAAGAAGCCTCATCCCAGCGAGCCCCTGGTGTTTGGGAAGACGTTCACTGACCACATGCTGATGGTGGAGTGGAATGGGGAGAAGGGCTGGAGCAGGCCCCGGATCCAGCCCTTCCAGAACCTCTCGCTGCACCCGGCCTGCTCTGCCCTCCACTACTCCCTGCAGGTGGCACGCTGATCTCTGGTCCCCACTGCTCTCGGCTCACCTTCCCTCCTGCTGTGCCACTGCTGGCTCCACTGCCCTGGCTTTGCTTCTTCTGCCTTTCCCTGCCCCATCATCCAGCCCTGGATGACGCCGGGCCCCCTGACACGAGTGTACACACTTCCTTCACTTGCACACCCCATGCTGTAATTACAGCCCAATGGGATCTGTGCTGTGGTGGAGGCAGCTGAGGCCTGTGGGGTGCTAGGGAGACTACTTGCCCTACCTCTGTCCTGCAATAAAGGGGTTCCCTCCCAGCAAAGAGGGGAAGGGACCAGCCAGCACGGTGACACAGCATAAAGGGTAGTCCGGGGTGTGTGGGGAGTTGGGTTGGGAGGAGACTGGGGATATCATGGGGGTGGCAGGGGGCACTGGTGCGTTGGCGGTCCAGAGCTGAGAGGACAGACAGACGTGGGGCGAGAGCAGGGGATGGGTGGACGGGAGGGGCCTGGAGGACGTGGCTGGCTGGGTGAGAGAACGGAAGGGCGGGTGGAGGCCAGGTGACCCGGTAGCCCAGAGGACTGCCCCAGGGGACCCGGGGGAAGAAGGCTCCGTGGGACTCAGTGAGGCGCGTGCTCCCGAGGCACTGACTGAGACTTCCGCGTGGCAGAGGCGTGTCTTCACGTGGAAGCTTCACTTGTCATAAGGTCAGATGGGCCTGCTAACCCCCTAGTCATCGGCTGGCAGTCTGAGGAGCTCGGGGCCACAGTTCTGTGACTTTAGGTCCATTTTCCTTTTGTTCTTTAGCGACTTGGAGGGGTCTTTTTTCCATACCTGCTCTCGCCGTTCAACTAGGACCCATCAGTGCAGCGCAGGGGCGGCGCCCAGCGGTAGCATTCAGACGCCTGGTGAGCGGCCTCGCTGGGCTTCTCTGTGCAGAGTCCCCTGGAAGGTGATTTACCCCTCCTTGCAGCCCAACACGGCAGGCCGTCCGCCGGCTGGGACCCAGAACTTGTTCCACTGAGCGAGTTCAGAGGGAAGGGGTTAAGAGGCCTTGGCAGACCTCATGTGCACTTTCGCGCTCCTTCTCGCGCCAGGGGCCTGGGAACTGCAGCCAGCGGAGGACATAGGTAGGTCACCTCTCCAAGCCGTCCTCGCTCGGGCACACGCGGAGTAACAGGCCGACCGCCTCTTCACTGTGTGTTATCGTGGTGATCACACACACACATAAGACTCCACGTAATAATAAAATGGAGCGTGTGCACCCTTTTTAAAGTCTACCACTCAAGGGCATTAGTACATTCACCACATGAGACACCCCCCTCCCCCGGCCCCCGCCCATCTGGGTCCAGAACTTGATTCATCTCCCCAGCAGAAACTGTGGCCCCCTTAAGGAGTCACTTCCCATGGCCCTCGCCCCAGCCCGACACCACTAATCTGCTTTCTGTCCTTACCCCTCGTGTTTTTTTTAAATGTCTATTTTGAGCGTTTTAAAATTACAATTAAAAATGGGCCACATACTCACCCATGGTTCACCATTCTAGATGTAAAACAGAGAGGCCAGCTCCCCAGATCCTCAGCCACTTAGCAGCGCCTTTTCCAGTTCCCACATGTATACTGTCATGCTACTTGACGGCAATATGATGTGAGAAATTTGTCCTCTGGCAATTTCATCGATGTGTGTAATTTCACAAACCTAAATGGTGCAGCCTCCTCTGCACCTAGGCTGGATGGCACAGCCTGTTGGGGCCACCATCGTATATGCAGTCGCTCATGGACCCAAATGTCGTTAAGCAATGGCTTTATTCCATTCTTTCCACACAAAAGGCCGCAGCAGATGGTATACTCACTGCCTGGCGTCTTGCTTGCTTTAATGCTGCCCTCAACGAGCCTTTTCTTTGTTGTTGTTGCGTAGTACTCCATTCCCACAGTGCCTCGTTTAGGCAATCCCCTATGTTGGACAGTTAGGTCATTTCCAGTCTTGTGCTATTATAAACAATATTGAAATAGACAATCTAATAAATAGCATGTTAAGTGTCTCCATTCAACTTCTAGAACCGTTGGGTCAAAGGGAATGCATGCTTGTAGAGCCATGCACTGCGTAACGATATTCTAACTCTGGATGGCATGTAGGACAGGGGTCCCTATATTTCGCCTAAGTGTGTCGGAGGGTGTACCATGTAGGTTTGTGTAATTACACTTGATATCCACACAATACCTAATAACACATTTCTCGGAACATACCGTCATTAAGCAATGAATGACTATAATCGCCCTCTGTAGTTCTACCAGTTTCCACACCCACCAGCAGAGCATATTTCTCCATAATCCTGGACAACTCTTGTCAAATTTTTAATCTCTTCCAGTCTCCTCAGTAGTTTTACGGGTGTCCAGATGTAAATTTAATTAGCGTTTTCCCTCACTTGTGAAGGAAGCCGCCCATCTTTCATCAGCATGAGAGTTACTTGAATTTCCTTTTCCATGAACTCTTCAGTTTCTAGGCTGATTTTTCGATCAGGGTAGAGTCAAAAACATTTGTGTAGGACTACTTGGTGCATTAGATAAACCATTTGTGTTATGAGCTGAAATCATATTGGAGGCGAGAGCGGCCAGATCTTGTGGGGCCTGGAAGGCCAGGGGGAGGCTTTGGACTTTCTCCCAAGAACAACAGGGTAGGGGTGGGGATCCAACTTTTTAAAAAAATTATATAATAAAGTCTTTATTATGGAAAGTCTCCAACATAAAGCAGCAGTAGACCACCACCCACTCCTCAAACATCGCTCTGCTTCCTCAGTCGGCACCTGCTGGTCGCCATCTGGTTTCATCTCCCCTTTCACCCTCCCTGCCCTTCCAGTGGATTCTGCGGCAAATCCTGGACATTGCATTATTTCATCCGTAGCAACTTCAGTGTCAGTCTAACACACAAGGACTTTAAAAATACAACTTCCACCCCAGCATCACGCCAGTAACGTGGAAAAGGGGTTAAGCACTCTTCTGCACTGCCGTTGCTGGGTTTCTTCTGAGAAGATTCTGCTCTCGGTAGCCGCTACCTCTCCAGACTTGTCTCTTCTCTCCTCTCTTCCTCGCCCAGCTCTGTCTCTGCATCTTTCTGTGTCTGTGCCCTTGTGTGGGTGTCGCTTCACAGCCTCTATGGCTGTCTGAGGCGGTCTAGAGCCCTAAGCCGCCCGCCCCCCCTCTGTTCCCGCAGCTCTTCGAGGGCATGAAGGCGTTCAAAGGCCAGGACAAGCAGGTGCGCCTCTTCCGACCCTGGCTCAACATGGACCGCATGCTGCGCTCGGCCCTGCGGCTCTGCCTGCCGGTGAGGGACCCTGGCCACAGGAGGTGGGGGGCTTGAGGTGTGGGGTGAGGCCTGCCAGGCCCCTGACTCCAGAATTCCGCCCAGAGTTTCAACAAGGTGGAGCTACTCGAGTGCATCCGCCGGCTGGTGGAAGTGGACAAGGACTGGGTGCCTGACAGCCCGGGCACCAGCCTCTACGTCCGGCCCGTGCTCATTGGGAATGAGGTCTGTCTGACTCCCTGGGCGGGGGGCCAGGGGCCCTGAAGGGGAGGGCTGGGGACCCCCAGCTCCTGGGTCTGGCTCTGGGGTGGGCCGGGGGCCTGACTGCCGGGGCCCTGACGGCCGCTCTGCCCCTGGCAGCCCTCGCTAGGTGTCGGCCATTCCACACGAGCCCTCCTATTCGTCATTCTCTGCCCGGTGGGCTCCTACTTCCCTGGAGACTCCGTGCGCCCTGTCTCCCTCCTGGCTGACCCCACATTCATCCGGGCCTGGGTGGGTGGGGTCGGCGACTGCAAGTTGGGGGGGTAAGTAGTTCCCCGCCTCCCCACCCGCCCCCACATCGGGTGCCCCGGCCATCAGCCAGGGGCAGTGCCCCTGGTCTGGGGTGGGTCTTTGGGTGTCATTGTCCTCCCTGTGCTTTCACTTGGTGGGGGGAGCTCACGGGGGGACTGTGATGTCACTGGCAGGCAGGGGGCTCCCTCCTCAGTGCCAGGGTAACTCAGAGAGGGGAAGGGGTTGGCTGGAGGCCAGTGGAGAAACCAGAGCTGGCACCCTGGAAAGCTTTCAGGAAAAAAAGCTGACACAAAGCTTACTGGTCTCTGCCCCCTGGAAGCTTCCTCTGAACACCAGGCTGGGCTGGGGCTACCGCTTCCCACATGCCTGCCTCCCAGGTCCCCTGGGCCTGCAACGCCCACCATCCCTGGGTGAACATTCTGTGTAAATCTTTCTCCCCAAGGGCTTTGGAAGGGAGGGGGCCCTAGGTGGTGATCAAAGGGGGCTTGGGGTACAGGCCTGTCGGGACAGCAGAGCAGTCCAGTGGGGGCTTCCTTCAGGTCCTTTCCTTGTGCATCTCGTGAAGTCGCCTGAGGGTCAGGTCCTGTGCTGGTAAAGTGGGGACACAAATGAGTCAGATCTGGGCCCTGAGCTGCTGGGGCCCCAGCCTGGCGGGGAACCTCATGGCCAGAGCAGCATGTGCTCTGCTGGAGGTAACAAGGGGCGGCTTGAAGGCTTCACAGAAGAGGTGGCAACACCTCACTGAGTCGGCTGGGTAAGATGGTTTCCTGGCTTGCAGGTACAAATGAGGAGCAGTTTTCAATCCTGGGGCCCGTGTGTGTGTGTGTGTGGGGGAGCGAGAGGGACGGGGAGGGTCACAGGCGTGGTGTCAGGGAAGAAAAAAAAGTCTGGTTTGTGCAAAAGGCTTAGTACTCAGACCAGGCAGGCCCTGAACACCAGATGGGGGCTGGCATCTTGTCCCAGAGGCGATGGGGAGCCACGGCAGGCTTGTGAGCAGGTGAGGAGCAAGATCAGCTCGGGGCGAGAAACCACATCGAAATAGGCAGTACAGGAAGTCGCCGAGGTGCCCAAGTTGGTGGGGGTCGTGGGGTACAGAGAAGGCCTGGAACCTAGTCTGGAGGTTCTGAAAGATCTGCCAGAGGGGGTGACGTCACAGGGGATCCTGAAGGACAGGCAGGGATCTGTCCTGGGGTGAGGAGAGCGACCCTGTGGAGGAAACTACTGTCCTGGGGCTGAGGGTGGGAGGGGCAGACGAGGGGGAACGGACGGCCCGAGCCTGGGCCGCAGCAGGGCTGGGCGCTGGGGAGAAGCAGGGTCTGCTCTTGGGTGTGTGGGCGGAGACAGGCCCTTGCCCTGCTTGACCAGGCCGCCCTCCGCCAGGAACTACGGGCCCACGGTGTTCGTGCAGCAGGAGGCGAAAAAGAAGGGCTGCGAGCAGGTGTTGTGGCTGTACGGGCCTGACCACGAGCTCACCGAGGTGGGCACCATGAACATCTTCATCTACTGGACCCACGAGGATGGGGGTGAGCCTGCCCATGACCCATTCCCAGCCCTGGCAGGAGTGGGTGGTCCTGTATCCCCAGCCGCTGGCGGGCCTTTAGGATTGGGCTGGTGGCTCCTGAGAGAATGGAGGGCCTGGGGATGCAACGTAACCCCTGCCCCTCCTCCCACCAGTGCTGGAGCTGGTGACGCCCCCGCTGGATGGGGTCATCCTGCCTGGAGTGGTCAGACAGAGCCTGCTGGACCTGGCCAAGACCTGGGTGAGGGCAGGAGTGATGGGTGCGGGGTGGGGGGGCACGCCTGCCTGTCCCCTCCCTTGGCCGGCTGTCTGCTTGCCACCTGAGGGAAACAGGGCGAGGCCCTGCAGCAGGCGGTAGCCCAGGCCGAGCCGGCTGTTCTCCCGCAGGGCGAATTCCGGGTGGTGGAGCGGAAGATCACCATGAAGATGCTGGTGCGGGCCCTGGAGGAGGGTCGGGTTCGGGAGGTCTTCGGTTCAGGCACGGCTTGCCAGGTCTGCCCTGTGCACCAAATCATGTACCAGGGCAAGGTGAGGGGGCACCCGCATGGGCTCGGGAGGCACCGGGAGGGAAAGGGGGAAGTGGGCCGGCCCTCACGGCACTTTCTGCTCCAGAACCTCCACATTCCCACCATGGACAACGGCCCTGAGCTTATCGAGCGTTTCTATAACGAGCTGAAGGCAATCCAGGTGAGGTGCCCCGGGCGGCAGGCTGGTCTGCAGAGTCTCCTCCCAGGAGCCCCAGGACAGGCAGCCCCGCGGCCTACCCCTAAAAAGGCCCTCTCAGTGCACTCGGGCCCATCCCGAGGGCCGGACCCCTCATCTGGGTGTCTTACAACACCCCCTAGGGCCAAAGACCTCTTGCTCATGAGCCTCCGGATTTCTGGGCGCACCATTTGTCTTGAGAACCCCCCTCGGGGCCTCTGTGGCTTCTGGGAACCCCGTTGAGAGAATTCCCCACCCCACCCCCGCCCTGGAGGCCACAGGTGCTCGGCCTGGGCCTTACCCGCGGCCTGGGAGGTGCGTCTTCTCCAGGTGTCCGGCCTCGGGCCCAGCAGCGTTCCCAGACCCTCTGCGCCCTTTCCCGCCCCTGGGCCTGGCGCTCCCCGCCCACCCCGGTGCTCGGGACCTGGAGCCCCGACTCGCGGGCCCCTCCGGGAGGACCTGCTCCCAGAGGCTCCGGCTCCGGCTCCCGGCAGCCTCTGCGCGGCCGGCGCGCTTCCCGGAAGTGGAGCGCGTTTCCTGTGCGCCCCCCACGTCCGCGGGAACGCACCGGGCCTGCTGGGAGAGGCGCCCCCTCCCTCTCAGCCGCCCCCCTGTCTCGCAGTACGGAGCGAAGGCGCACGAGTGGATGCTGCAGGTGTGACGCCGCGGCGGGGGCCCAGCACCCCTCGGATCCTCCTCGCCTCGCCCCGGACGCTCGCCGCCTCCTACCAATGACTCACCTGAAGTGCAATATAACTAAAGGCCTGGGGCCCGGCGCCCGGTCCCCGGGGCTCCCACGGTCGCTACACTCCCAAAGCCATAAGGGCCCGACACAGGTGTCTCGGCCCCTCGCCCCGCCTCTCAGGCCTCGGGGACCTCGACCCCTGCATCTCCGTTTTGTGGGGTTAAGACTGCATCTTGGCCTCGACTCCGCTCCGTTTTCGGATCTCCCGGTGGTGCCGTTGAGATATATGTGTATATATATTCTCTTCTTGCTGCAATTTTGAAATAAAATGCCAAAGAACAAGACCTGAGCAGTCATCTCCAGTGATGCAACCGGGGACCCTGGCTCTTGACCAGAAGCGCAGTCACGCTGCTCCTGTGCAGGGACTCAGCGATCCGGGTCCTCGTGGTTTGTGACATGGGAGAGTTTTGCCCTTTGTCACAAGCTGAACTTCACATCTCCCCCCATGAAGTCCTCCCGTCAGATCCCATCTGTCCTCAGGTCCTGTACTGCTGCCCAGCTGTCCTGTCTGTCCCCTCATCTTGGCTTCAGCCCAGATCTTGTCTTTGCACTGATACCTTGTCCCATCCTCTCTCACCTCCAGGATAGCCCCCAAAGAGGTCGCTGCCTCTGTCTTTGCCCTTGCCCTGCTCCCTCTCCCAGGGTTCCTAGCACCCACAGCCAATACTCCAGGTGGTGGATATGGAGGGAGGCAGGGTACCCAGCCCTTGGAGAGGGCAAATATCAAGTGTCTATAAGACATAAGGGGTACCCTTGTTTTGGCGCTTAGTTGCAATGTGCAGGTGTAGAGTCAGTCATGAGGATCAGGCATATCTTGTTGCTAGTCTGTTATCTGCTGGGTGTGTGACATGCAGTTTATCTCCAGTCCAGCTTGCTGGAGGGAGATTCTGTGATTCTACTAAGCAGGTGAGGCCTGTGGCCTATCCAACAGCCACTGACTTTGGAACCAGAATTCTGATTTGTTGAGGTCACAGCTAACTATTGCCACATCCTCATTCCTCTCTCTTGTCAACGATTGCTCAAGGGAAGGACTTGTACCTAGAGATCGCAAGGGGACATTTGCCTGGAGACCTCTAGGAAAGTTTTCTTCCCTTGGTAAAAAGAATCCAGAAGAACTACCTCTTCTTTCCCCCGGCTTTGGCTGTGAGGATCTGAAAGTGTGATGGTCGGAGCCGTTGCATCCATTTTGTGCCTAAGAAGCGAGCCAATGCCCATGCACTGAAAGAGCAGAGCACAAAGAGAAGATCTTGGGTCCTCCAACCATGAAATTTCTGATTTCTGGATTATTTTCATCCAAAAAAAAAAACTGTTTTAGCCATGATTTGTCTGTAGGGGTGTGTGTGTGTGTGTGTCTGTGTGTGTGTGTGATGTGCTGTCAAAAGCTTCTATCTTCTCCCTGTGGCCAGAGTTGATTGCATACAGGAAGAATTCCTGACTCTAGTGGCCAACTCAGTTGCTGGCCAGTCACTAGACCCCAAATAGAGATTGAGACCAGATTTTAATCTTAAATTTGAATCCTAAGGGAATAATCAAGAAAGACTAAGGAGCCATTGTCATGAGATAAAGAAGACCAGAGGCCCTCCTAAGGAAATAGACTCAGAGAGATAGACTCACTTTTTGAAAGTTCATTGAAGCAGCAGCACCTAAGAGTATGCAAATAAATGTGGTCACACACGGCTGACGAGTACAGTTGACCTTGAATGAGACGGGTTTGAACCATGCATTTACACATGTGCACTTTTGGTCCATTGAGGCATTTTATTTGCATGTAGCTATTACATCCCGAGAAAAAGAACCCCAGGATTTCCCCTCCTGTGTGTTTTCCTCTTGTATCTTTGTACTCCGTGATGCCAGCTGAGGTTGTCAGTGCAATGAAACCAAGCTGATGGCACAGAAACAGGTCATTTAGCCTTTTTTTTCTAAACCTTAGAATTGTAGCTCACTCTGGAACTGATCAGGCTACACTTGTGTAATCTGCCTGTGAGCGTCACAACAATGCCCCAGCTCTGTGGTCATCAGGGATTTCAAATTCAGGCTTCATCATCACAGAAACTGGAGGATGACTTTGGAGTACGGCCTAAAAAGGACCTGGCATCTGCCGAACTTTTGGGCATGAGTGGTGCTCTCGCGCACCTCTGCCAGGACGCTCAACTGCACCTTTACTGTGGCTATAAAGATGGTGGAAAGTATGCTTGTTTGGGTTAAGCCTTCAGATTCAACCGACGATGATGTCCGTTGGTTGAATCCCCAAAGCAGAACATGCGGATTGGAAGGCCAACTTAAGCCAAACAGAGTTTTTTGGACTTCGTGGGTGGTCCTCTTCATGCAAAGGTCACCAGTATTATTAATTTTTAATTTTTACATTTTTTGAAAGATTTATTTATTTTTGCATACAAGAGCTGGGGTGTAGGCCAGTGGTGTTGGGGTGGTGAGAGGATTCACCAGAGAGAGTGGGGAGCAGAACAGGCAGATGTACTGAAATACACTGCCGAGGGGAGCAATGGGGAGACTGGAGAGGTCTGCTGTGCCATGGGGGTCACCCCCCTGGCAGGGGATGGAGCTCCTGCTGCAGTAGCTGCGGACAGCTTCATAGTGCTGACCCTTAACCCCTTGCGCCACCAGGGAGGCCCCTGAAAGCCATTTCCAAAAAATTAACAAAATCAGATACAGCCTATGCAGGCACACCCAGTATCATACAAAAACAATGATCTTTTAAAGATCACATACATGTACATATTTATATGTAAACATGTATATGTATCCCTGCATCCATACATTATTTATGCATATATACACATATATTCCTTGTTCTAAGAAAAAGGAAGAACAAGATGAAATTCATGAATAGAAAAACCACCACAGGGCCTCCCCGGTGGTGCAGCGGTTGAGCGCTGGGTTGCGAAGCTGCCTGAAGCCTCTGTAGCGCCGGTTCGATCCTCGGCTGCTCCCCGGCCACCAGAGGAGGGTCCCACATGGCGCGCAGACCTCTCCTGCCGCCCGCTGCTCTCCTCAGCAGTGTCCTTCGGTCCTTCTGCCTGCTCTGCTCCCCGCTCTGGCTCTGGTGAATTCTCTCACCCTCCTGCGCTTCTGACTGTACCCAGTGCTTGCATAAACAAACAAACAAACAAACAAATAAATAAATAATAAAAAAAGAAAAACCACCACAGGTACGGTCGCAGGCAGCAGCTGTGAAATGCCTACACTGCCATCTGGCGGACAATGTCGGCATAAAGTTAGAAAAATGGAAGAGAAGAAAATGAATGAAAAGTTGTGTATAGGGGGTGTATCCAAACAAAATTTCAGCAGTTTCTACTGTGTGATTGACCAAAAACTTTTTTTTAAGATTTATTTATTTATGCATACAAGAACTAGGGTACAGGCCAGAGGTGCGGGGAGTGAGAGGAGTCACCAGAGACAGAGTGGGGAGCAGAACAGGTGGATCTACTGAAATACCCTGCTGAGGGGAGCAGCGGGCAAGACAGGAGAGGTCTGCTGTGCCATGTGGGTAGCACCACAGTAAGCGTCATACTAAATTGTCAAAGACTGAAAACTTTCCTCCTAAGGTCAGGAGCAAGAAAAGGATGGTTGCCTGTGCTGTTTTATATTCAACAATGCACTGGAAGTTCTATCCAAAGCAATTAAGCTAGAAAAACAAATAAAAGGTATCCAAGTTGTAAAGACCTAAGTAAAATGATCTTTATTCACAGATCACACGATCTCATAGCTAGAAAATACTAAAAAATTCACACATTTTGAAGTTATAAATTCAGCAAAGTTGCAGGACACAAAGTGACACACAAAAATCAGTTGTCTTTCTTTACACAGAATCGAGCAGTCCAAAAATGAAATAAATAAGGAAGTACTTTTTTTTTCCAAAAATGAAATTAAGAAAACAATTCCCTTTATGATAGTATAAAAAAAAATAAAGTACTTATGAATTAACTTGATTGAGGAGTGATAAGACTTGTTCACTGAAAACTATCAAACATGACTGAAAGAGATGAAAGATTACACAATAAATGGGAAGACATCTTGTATTCATGGATTGCCACACTTAATATGATGATCTTGATAATATTCCCCCAAAGCAATCTAAAGATTCAAAGCAATCTCTTCAAAACTAAAAACCCCAGCATTCTGGGGGGTGGGATGCAGAAAAGGAACAGATGATCTTACAACTCATATGGAATGGCAAAAAAATTCCAATAGTCAAACCAATTTTGAAATGAAGAACAAAGTTGGAAAACTCACACTTCCAGATTCAAACTTACTATAAAGCTACAGTCATCAAAACAAAGGTAGACCTACACATGAATACAATAGAGAATTCAGAAATAAACCTATACCTCAATTGCCAACTGATTTTTTGACAAGGGAACCAAGATGATTCAATGGGGAAAGAATTGTCGCTTCAACAAATGGTGTTAGGACAACTGGAAAGCCACATGCATCATCCAAAAGAATGATGGGGCTTCCCTGCTGGAGCAAGGGGTTGAGCACAGCACTATGAAGCTGTCCACAGCCTCTGCAATATGAGTTCGATCCCGGGCCAGGGAGCTCACCCACAGGGCACAGCAGACCTCTTGTGTCTCAACGGCTGCTCCCCTCAGCAGTGTATTTCAGTGGATCTGCCTGTTCTGCTCCCCACTCTGTCTCTGGTGAGTCCTCTCACCCCCACACCTCTGGTCTACACCCTAGCTCTTGTATGCATAAATAAGTAAAATAAATCTTTTTTAAAAAAAAGGCATTATCAAGAGAATGAAAAGAGAAACCAAAATGACAGTGGGAAAAATATTTGCAAATCGTAAAAAGACTCCTACAACTTCATAACAGAAACTCAAGTTAAAAATGGACAAAGGAGGGCCTCCCCAGTGGCGCAGTGGTTGAGCGCTGGGTTGCAAAGCTGCCTGCAGCCTCTGCAGCGCTGGTTCGATCCCCAGCCGCCGGGCGAGGGTCCCACATGGCCCGCAGATCTCTCCTGCCGCCGGCTGCTCCCCTTAGCAGTGCGCTTCATCAGTCTGTCTGCTCTGCTCTCCCCTCTGGCTCTGGTGAATTCTCTCACCCTCCCGCGTTTCTGACTGTACCCAGTGCTTGTATAAATAAATAAATAAATCTTGAAAAAAAAAAAAATGGACAAAGGATTTGAATCAACATTTCTCCAAAGGAAGACATACACACGTGAAAAGATGCTGAACATATTAGTCATCAGGGAAGTGCAAATTAAAACCACAATGAAATATTACTTCATATCCACTAGGATGGCAGTAATCACACCAAAAATAAAATAACAAGTGTAAGAATGTGGAGAAATTGGAGCCCTGTGAATTGCTGGTGGGCATGTCAAAGAATGGAGCTGTTGTGGAGAAGAGTATAATGATGTTTCGAAAATTTCAACATAGAATAGTCCTATGATTCAGCAATTCCACACCTAGATATGTACCCAAGAGGATTAAAAAGAGACGGGCAAACGAGGACTTATATATAGCATTAGATGACAAAATTACTTATACTAGAACACAGAAACAACCTAAATGTCCACATGGGATGAATGGATCAATGAAGTGTGGTCTCTCTGCTGAATAACAACCAGATGTTACTCAGCCATAAAAGGAATGAAGTGCTGATCCAGGTTACAGTGTGAATAAAACCTGAAAACACAAGCCGAGTGAAAGCAGCCAGGCGCAAAAGAACATTGCATCAATATGAAATCTCTAGAATAGGTTGTTACTTTCTAGAAATGGAAAGCAGATTAGTGATTGACAGGAAGGAAGGAGAGGTGGGGAGAGATGAGGGTGCATAATGGGTATGGAGTTTCCTTTTGGAATAAGAATGTTCTGGAACTAGAGAGTCATGACAGTTGCACAATATTGTGAATGTACTAAATGCCACTGAATCATTACAATGGCTCAGATGGGGGATTTCACATTTGTGTGGTTTCAGCGTCCACACCAAGAAAAAGGTGTAAAATGTGCAGCATGCTGAAAGTTGCTCTTGGCAACTACACCCCTCCCTGCGCTTTCCAGGGTAGTAAGATTTTTAGTGGTTAAGAATGTGGACTTGAAGGCTAGACCTTGTGGGTGAATACTCCCCCATTCTTTAGCTGTGGAACTGGGGGCAAAATGTCACCCTCTCTGGGCCTCAGTTTCCTCATCTGTGAAATGGGGATAATAACAAACCCTCACGCACAGGCTGGTTGGGAGGACTGAGATGCACCCTTGTGCCTGGCACATTTGCCAGGACCAGGCAGGGGAGGCTCTGGAGTCAGCAGTACTGAGATTCCAGGCACTGAAAACGGGCGGGGCCCAGACACAGGCCGGAGAACAGCCCTGCCCCAGGGCACTCTGGTGTGGGGCGGAGCAGCTCAGCCTTTGAGCCTGCTTCCAGCTGGGGAGAGGAATTCATTCAAGCCACAAACCTTGCTCAAGCAATTCCTGTGTATTCAGCCCCGGCTGGGACTGGGAATCCGGCAGGAGGGCTCATCAAGCTAAACCCTCCTGGCGCTTGCACTCCAGTGGGACCCATGGGGGGTGTAGTGGGCGTGGTGGAGGTGAAGGTGGGGGTATGGCGTGAATGGAACAGGTTGGTAAAATCAATATATTACACTTACATTCCTTCGATAGTAAATTTACACGAATATATTTTAATACTGTATTTATTTGTTACACATGTAACATGCACTTGTATGTTAGAAAGTGTGTATATCCCATAAACCCAGAGCCACACTAAGAGCTGGGGCATGTGAGGCCCAGGACCTTCCGAGAGCGGGAACAGCGCCCGCT